GGTCTCCAAAATACATAGATATTTCAAACAGCAACGCTAGCATATTTTTTTTAAATGTGAATTTCAGAGTACTTGTGTGTACAATCAGAATGTTTTTTAGCAAAATAATTTTGCAAATGTCCAATGGCATGGTAAGTAAATTAACGAGTTCCTTTTTTATTGCAAAAGCAGCTGTCAATGATTTCAAAAAGCCAAGACTTTCATTTATCGTGGGGAATGGTTGTATATAAAGCTGAAAAGTTGTTATGCTGTTGATTTTGGTTAATTTTTTGGATTTCAAATTTTCCAAAGATTCCTTGGAACTTTCAGTTATTCACAACTGATTCACAACATTTGTTGAATATATTGCCGGACAGTACTCCTAACGTTCCTCCTTCACTACTTTAAAAAATTTAGTGAGGAGTACATATAGATGCATGGTAGAACATTTACTAGAACACGCTATGTATCCTTGTAAGGATTTTTGTCAAGTTTTGGAATATAATATAGATATGGTAAAGCAAATTCATTCTGGTTGTTGGTAATATTAAAAATATTCAAAACTGACATATGATTTTGAAGAATTTCCTTCTTAGAAAGGGAGATATGGGTATTAGTTGGATTGTCATTAGCAGAATCAAATCCAAGTTCTTCTGAAATACAATTTTAATACTGAGCTTTACAAACAAAGGCAATACTGTTACCTGTTTTTTCATCAGGGACCAGTGCATGCTGACCGTGTAATCTATTCTATGTGTAATTACAGTCAGTTTACAAAATACAGTTAAAATAAGACATAACATTATCTCAATTATACGTTTCTATGTGCCATATAACTATATTATTCAATCAATCAAGTGTCATCTTTTCTTTTAATTAAAGATACAAAATTCAAAGTACATGTAAATTTTAATCAGCAAAGGTTTTAACAAGTGAATTTTGCACAGACAATAAAATTCAAATGAAATTAATATTAGTTTACTTTGTATGCGCAAACTGCTTATGGCCTTCAACAAATGTAATTTGTTATTGTATGAGTCAACTTACGAACGGGGGGTCGATCAACTGTCCCAAATTTGACACATCAGTTAAATTGTTTATTTATTTTTGGATGTTTTTTTCTTTTGTATCTTATTTTTCTTCCAAAATATTATACTCTCCTTACCTTGTTACGAGGGATATTCAGTAAATTATTCGCTGAATTTTATAACGTACAACATAGTTAATATTTTTTATTACATTGGCTTTTCCTTATGATTGAATCTTTGATAAATTAAAAATCTTTTATGTGCCCACGTTTCATCATTTAATTTCATTGTGAGAAGCTGGAAAAGAAGGACTATGAGGGTCATGCACTGCATTAAGAAGCTTCATTAAAGCTGCTGTAAATCTTGTTAAGAATCAAAAAGAAATATTTAATGAAATATGTGATGTTTACAGCAACCCAAATCAAAATTTGTTTTTATAGACACATGAGTATGTGGATTTAAATTAACAATTGGCATCAAAAATTGGTACCGTCCATATAGCGATAAAGACAACAACCAATGTAATATTTGCCAAAATTAAACAAAATATTAGTGATGGTGTTTGTTTGACTGTAATTTGGTAGGCATAACTTCAGGGGTAGTTCACAATGTTTTAGAGAAAGCATTTTACAGCAAAATGCTTTATACTCAATGGCCACGCAATGTATTGACAAATGAAAGAAAACGACAACGAGTAAAAATATCGAAACAATTATTTTTGAAAATCAAAAATCGTAATTATCCACATTTGTCTTAAATTCTAACAGGTATGTTATGAAATGAGTTCCTTACTTTGAATTCCAAAGAAAATTTAACAACATGCACGTGACCAAAATAGCTATGGTAGGTGAAGATCCCAAGACCTGCAAGAAAAAAGGAAAGTTTTATATGCCATTTTCTGCAATAGTAGTGGGTCATCCGCGTGGCGCACTGGTTAGAGCGTCAGCTCTAGAGTCGCGAAGTAAGTACTTGATCCTTACGTCCCGGGTTTGATTCCACCTGTGGGACGTGGAGACCGGTCCTTCGCATGAGATCGTATAAACCGAGGTCCTGTGTCACAGTACCCCGGTAGGTGCTGGCACGAAAAAGATCCCGCACTGCTTAATGGCCCTGAACGCCGAGCATAGGACAAAATTTGCAGCTCTCCATGGGTAAGTGGTGGCATCTCCATATCAGTGAAACATTCTCCAGAGGGACGTTAAACAATATTCAATCAATCAATATTAGTGGTCTTGTTGTTCAAATTCTAATTTTTGGAGGCCGTTCAATTTCTGGATGAGTCTAGAAAGCAAAATGTAAGCAAAAATCGATCGAAATGTTTATGAGAAGAAGGAGCCAGAATCAAGAACCTATTGCACTGATTTTCTTTATGACAAACCCACACGTCCTGAACAGTAATGAAGTTTTTTAGGGAGAGGGGATTAACAGAAAGTTAATGGTTTTTCTCAATAACAATGTTCGCCAATCTTTCACCTTCGACTTGTTTCATTTTCCAAACTTAAAAAAATTCTTTTTAAGAAAGAAGAAAAAATACCAGGAAATCATAGGATCTGTCGTATTCCAATATACGAAGGGTTTACTCAAAAATGTGTTCTAAAAATTAGAAATTGGATAAAATGTTATATGTGTTTTAATTAAAAGAGCATATTTATGGGAAATAATTAAGACAAAATCAATGAAAAGCGGGGAGGGGGGTTTCTTTTCGAGGATCAAGGACGCAATTTATTGATCAGTCCTAGTATATTTTCAAAAATCTTTGTTCTTGAGGTTTGATAGATGAGCACAACTTTTCCATAAAAATACAAATCAGGGTTCTTTATAAAGTACATCCTTGGCGGAGAAGTCTTGTATACTAATATTATACTTTTTCGATTTGTCCCATCCCTTTCTTTTCCTACAAATATTCCTTGCGACCAATTTTTTTTGTATTAGAGTAAAGTGCGATGATGCCCAAAAGGCCCTGCACTGTACCGGAAAAAGAAGAAGAATGAGAGAACAAATGCTATGACAGTAAGCAATGGATTTGTAAAGTACATGTATTACCTTCTATCACTTAATTCATTACCTCCGCAATCGAAGGATATCGTTTAAAGCATATATATGTATTTGACTTTAGGATAAAGGAGCTGTAGGGTCGACTATATTTCTACTGCTAAGCATATTCCCTATGATCAAAGTTATTGCCTCAAATTCTTTCACGTTTAATTGTAGGTTAAGCAATATATCGGAAGATCATATACATCACACATAGAAAGATTCTTCGAATTTTGTTGAGAGTTTAAAATGTAATGTAATTACAAATATTTTATTAAACACAGTTATATGACAGAGAAGCAGAAAAGGTTAGAAAAAATCTAAATGATAAGGTTGTCTTTCTGGGTACTACTTTCTGTTCTGGTAGACAGACCTTTGCTTGCTGTAAAAAACAAAAAGAAGATCTGAAAAAAATGGAGGTATCGAACAGTATTCAAGCTCAAAAGTGCATAAAACAATACAAAATAGGAGCAGAGCAGGGACCTCCAAAACATCAGAGGTGCCATCGAGGACTTGAGTTTTGAAAACAGACTAAATCTCTGTCATACGATATTTTTTTTATTCTTCCATTATGGAGTTTTTCTACTTAAGTTGTATATTCTGCTGATCATTATACTAGAGCAAGACTAACTGCCTAAGGACTTGCGTGTGGACCCAGTTGTGTTGGAAGACTTGGTCTCCATAAAACTTCATAATGTATTGTCAATTAGAAACTAAAGCATGTTTTTGTTTCAACTTCAAAATACTTTCGTGTACCATTTGAATGTTAGTTAACAAAATAATTTTACAGTTGGTCAATTAAAAAGTAAGTAAATTTAAGAGTCATTGAAAAAGCATCCGTCTAGGATTTCAAATCTTCCTAAAGTTGTTTTCCGGTTTTAAGTATCCTTATATGATAAACATCACGTTTCAAATCTAGTGTTGTAAAGTATTTCTGAAGTTTCTCCTTCCCTGCTGTTGATTGTTTAGTGCATAGTAAATAACGATGGTAGGATAACCACATTAAGTTCACCACTTAAGTGGTTTCAGGATAATACATTATTCGACTTTAAATGAACAATTTTATTTTGTTTATCCTTCTTAATAATATATTTTTGTACATACAGGTACTTGTATTGTTTCCAAAAGACCTTTGGGTTGATATATTGCTTCCATTAATACTTTATATATATATATATCCTTCCAGTCTGTCAACAAGTTCATTCCATACTTCATCGAAGATCACCTAGTTCGTTGAAACATATTTTAATAGACCTTAGGGAACGAACGAACGATCAATTATTTTAACATCCATATATTGTATAATTTTATATCAGAAGTTTTGTCCTCAAGCTTAATACACTTTTGATAAGCTATTTTTAATCCTCAACCTAAGCATATATATATAAAGAGGCACCACTAAATATAACTGAAACGTCATTCATTTTAAGGGAACTTAAAAATTCCTAAAACTACTGAACACAATTAAATGATTGTGGTTATTCCGTGATAAACGCCCGACTTTGAAAAATCGCCCATCTTGTGACAGCTGTTAAGTTCTTTTCTCATTAACATAACATTTTCTCAACCAATTTGAATCTGATTCTTTTATGTTAAATTAAAATTATAAAGGTGTGCTGGCTTCAAGATAACCCTTGCTTATTTTTATTTTACGTGATCCCATAGGAGTTCTAATGAATAGTAATTAAACCACGGTAATGATTTCATTAAGATTTGGGATGCAATATATTTCATTTTCTAATATTTGATTGCACACACTACAGGTAAGATTGGGATAGACTGTTTTCTGTTTACTTTCTTTAATTAAATACGTCAATTATTTGATTATTTTGCATCACGCCTTTTACCATTAGCTTTACTTATTGTTTATGCACCTTCCTCATTTCAAATGAACATAAAAACAAATGTATCATTTATTCTCGTAATTTCACTCATTATTATTCATGTTCAATTACGTAATTAATCTTACGTTAAACAATAGGTTCTTTCGTTTCGCTAACGCTTATATTATTCAAAAACGAATATAACAAAAACATCTCAGGATTTATTAAACTCTGGTAAGAGAAAGAGACAACTTAACAGGTACTCCTCCATGACAGATGTTTATCATCAAAAGTAACGACATGATACTTTGAAAAAAGGGAAATGTACAGCGGTGATGTGATTTTTCAAATTGTGTAAAGTTTTACGTTGCACCATTGCAGTTTCTTTAATATTGTTTCAGATTTACTATGATTAACCCTGAGTTTAAAGTTCTAATTATTTTGGGGATTTCGTTGGCCTGTTCAAGTCTTGTGGCTGGTCAAGTAGGTAAGAATGCATTTTCTTGAAGTATTCTTCTTTCATTTATATTTCAATTGTTGCAATTGTGGTTTTATATAATGCTTTCTTTTGTAATTCATATTAATTTTAAAAATGTGATGTAAAAAGAGTTTGAAGTCATGCAATTTTTTTTTATTCAAATAATTCATTTCCAACTTATTGTTCATATACAGTTTATAACAAATAGAAAAAGTTTTTTAAATACCCAGATTTACTCTAAATTCCACGTTTTTGATTTGATCTTTTTTAATTCATCTAGATATTAAGAGAATTTTTAACACAAAATGTAAACACGTGGTTATTAAATAAACATATGACAAATGTGGTCTTTAGACGACAGAGAAAATTAAGGAATAGGGCATGGCAAGGAAAGTAAATCACGCATATGACATATTCCATTTAAATATTGTCGGATCACGTTCTCTTAGAGAGGTGAGGTGTGATATATCAGACTGATTTACTACTCAGCTATAATTTCTGATTTTGTTCACAGAATTTCCAATTATTTCAAGGAATCCATGAGTCCAGTCCACCTATACATAATCTATAATAATATTTAATGCATGTAAACTTATTTGTAAAATATAGGATAACTCGAATCTTTTTCCTTGACTTACTATAGCAACACTGTATATATTTTAGGAAAAGTGAATTTTATTTTTTCAAACAGAGTTTAACAAATCCATGTTTCAATAAATTTACATTTTTATTAAGGCACATAAGGTACAGTGTCTATATAAAAATGGCATGAGAAGAAGGGGATTTCGATTATGTTATAGATACACGTACATGTATGACTTATGACACTAAATGAACTAATAAATTTAGAAGTATTTTAATTTTGCACCTTAATTGATTGAATTAATCTAAATTCTGGCCATAGGTCAAATCATGCCAACCCATTAAAGAAAGGATGTTTTGTCTATTATTTGTTTATGCAGAATGCAGTATAACAGATTTTCAATCATGAGTATGTTCCTTGTGTTTTGTAGGATGTTTAGAAGAATGCGGTGGACTTGAATCTTGCTTGACTCCGGCTAATTTTACTCACTTCAGGCAATGTTCATCAGTAGGGGGAGCATGTTCCTGTGTACTTTTGATGTGCTCATTCGGCACATGTTTTAATCCAGCGGCGGGTGTGTGCGACACAATGTCTAAAGGACTTTGTGACAACGGTAATGTTTAACAAATTAAACAATACTGTAAAATGACTCATTTTCATAATGGTTCGATTTTTCTTTGTTTTGGAGTCATTATGAAACTCACTAATTCATGTCCCCCACCCAATGGTATTGGTCATATTTAAAATTCAAACGAAGTTCAAGAGAAATCAAATCCCCCACGAACACAACATTTTCCCCCAAACCATAAAAGTTTGACCTATTGAAAATGTTATTATACAGTAGGTAATTTGTTTTTAGATAAAAAGAAATTACTGCCTTAGCTATACTATATTTCAACTTTGTTACTTCAGATCCCTGTGCCAGATTTGAAATGGGCTACACCTACCCCAGCATGTTTAACTGCAGAAGCTTCTATCAGTGTAACAGGGCTGGACGTTCTGTTCCAATGTGTTGTGCAGACGACTTCAGATACGATGACATCACTAAAGAATGTGTACTCGACAGAAGCTGTAATATTTCATGCAGTCAACGTGAAGGCCAAGATTATTCTCGTCTAAGCCAGGAACAGCTGATGCGAACAGACCCATACGGTATACTTTCATTTTTGACTGTGTCAGTTATGGAGCGTGTTGACCAGCAATTCTATTGCTAAAATATTGAGAACAAAATTAGCAATAACCTGTGAATTTTTTGTGCTTTTAGAATGTGTATTGAGGAGAGTCCCTGGAAAACCTGATAAATATTACAACGAAGTAGCTAAACTGGAAATGGATTGCGCAGAATCAACATTTTACAGTCCCGAGAAATGTGCCTGTGACGTTGTAGCGGGGGCTAACAACCTACTTCGTCCAAGAGGTGACGTTAATTTACAATACAAACCCGAACCACAATTCTTACATTCTGTGATAGTCAGTATATGCCCCTAAATCGGATTTTGATGGCGAAAGTTAAATACGACGTCTTAAAAGTGATATATAAACTCATCATTTAAAGATTGAAATAAAATGGGTTATTTAACGTCTGTATTTTGAATAACAAATATTGAGTACAGGTCTGATCAGACTTTTTCTTTTGATATTATATGTAGAATAATATTATCAATAAAACTTAGTGCCACATGTTTGCGGTAAAAAATATTCAGTCAAAATTAAAAATACTTGATCTATTAAGTCCTCATTCTTAATTAATGAAGGGGAAGTTTACGGCTTTACACTGACAAAAAGTTTGATTATTCATTTTGCAATTCATAATATATTTTATTATTTTGGGTTTCATAAATACAATATACATGTTTAAAATTGAGCACGTTTCTAGAGAATGTTGAAATTTTAATTCACAGAGGACAGAGGTATACCTTAACTGCACATACCTCTTTCCTAAAATTACCACCACACCCTTCTGATCAATAAATTCCTATCTATTTTAATCCATAAAAACTCTGTTTTGCTGAGTGTTCATTTCTCTCGCTTATCCAGGTTGTCGTCCCGTGTTAGATGTGGATTTTTCAGGGAGTACGGTGAAGAACATTGGAACAGCTTACCTCAACGTCAGGAACGTTAATATCACATCCTCTGGAAGACCGGGTGTAAATATTGGACAGTTCAACGGAGTGAATTCTTTCATAGGACTACCTCAACTCAACGGTGTTGCTTTAGACAGACTATTTATCCGTTTCCGGTTCTTTAGCTCGCCATCCAGTGCAGGGGGCGGAGAGTCTCCTGTAGCAGACCAGGTTCTTTTTTCTAACTGCGATGCCTCTTTAGCTGTACCAGAACAAGACATCTACAACAGATATTCCCTTGCCATCATATTAAATCAGCCATCAAGTACCTTGTCGTTTATTGCGGAGTCAGATGCCGCTCAGAAAGCACTAATTCGGCTACCCTTTGCGGTAATTATATATTTTAACTTTTCTAATGTATACAGTAAAACTCGTTTAGTACGAACACGTATATTGCGAATTCACGGATATAGCTTTTATTTTGGATCCCCTAGCTATATAACTTTACACGGATATAACGAATTACGGATATAGCGAAGTAATTTCACAGTCCCAGAGACTTCGCTATAACCGAGTTTTACTGTATAGATTGTATCGCAAGTGCCTACCGGTTGAGAAGCAGAAAACCTGCTCCCTGGAAATATACGTGTTTTGTCATCCGTCTTTTTTTTTTTCAGCTCCTCGTACAGTTTTGTCCAATTTCAATCAAATTTTATACACAAGTACACACATATCTAAACTACAAAATTCTATATATCGGTTTTCATTTTGACGATCTGTTTTTCTATGACAATTAAATACGAATATGTTTTGTAAGGTTATTACATTTCCATTCATATTTATCTCAACATGATTTCTAACATTGATACAGGATGGTGCATGGAACAATGTAGAAATGATATATGACGGAGAGGCACTGACTGCCCGTGTCATGTCTATCACGGCTGATGGAACTAATTTTGAAGAGACGGACACTAAGCCCCTAAATGGTAAAAATTGTCTCACTTTCAGACACTGTACTGTTTCATTTAGTTCATCCCTTTTCCTATTGATATAGTGGCAAAATATCTGGAACTATATTTTTCAAACGATGGAATAGAATATGTCTTAATTTGCAATTTGATATACTTTTTAGGAAATCTAGTTGCCGCAAGGCGAGATCCAAGAATAGGAAGCTGTAGTATAGATGATGCTTTCCTTGGTTACTTTGATTTGGTATGTATTCTATAACCTTTTCTAATTCAAATTAAGGTAGTACGAGCACCATATCATTTTTTTTAATAAATGCATATTTTAGTCTAAGATGACATTTAAATTAGGTCCAATCCTTTTAAACTTTCTGAACTTAAATAAAACATTGCATGACTTTTTATAAATTAATAATTCGCGGAAATATATTCATAATTATGAATTGTTAGAAAATATTTTAAGATCCTTTTGAATTATAACAAAATGCTTTCTTATTAGGATTTTTCTAACTTTGCTTTGCTTTCTTTTCAGGTAAAGCTATTTAGATGCATTCCCATGCGACGTAACCCGCCTATGGCATAACTTTTAAAACTTATCTGAAGTTTTTAAAAAAAATTGTTATCATTTTTTATCTATTTAATTCACACCAGTTTTAAGACACTATGAAAATTGATTCTATGTAATAAAATATGTTGATTTTATATCTTCTTCTATATTCCGCCTCATAATTAATCAAAGTACAGGGTGATCCAAAATATCTATATATGATTTTCAAAACTTTGTCAATAATCTTTCATATTTCATTTATACATCATTTGAAATGATCCTATCATTTTAATAAATATAAAAAAAAACGCATAAAAATTGCTTTGACGTTTCGTCATAAAACTGGTATTGTTTATTTTAGATACTTTAAATCAGAGAGCTGTAGAAATTGTCCAATTATATTTTGAGACACATTCATCCAAAACAGTGATTCGTATTATGAGAAAAGGTTATCCATTGGGAACTTAGCTTACAAAACTGCAGGTTAATAGGTTAGTGAAGAAATTTCAATAAACTGGTTTAAGATAAGAACGTTTGAAAGACATTTGAAGGCCCAGTACAATGAAAACTGCAGTTGTTAAAGAACTGATGATGGAAACTCCACAAAAATCAGTGAGAAGTGTTATGAAAAATTCAGGGAACAGGCCCAGTTATGGAAGTGTGTGCAGAACTTTACTGTATTACATAAAACTTTTTCCTTGTACAGTGCCTATGATTTATTTCCTACAAGATGGAGAAACCCCAGACACATCATCAGAAAAAGTTCTTAGACGGTTGCAGAAAAACATTCAGTAACCAACTGATTTCGTTCAGGACTGACTGTGTTTGGCAACCAGATTTTTCTGATTTAAGTCCACAGAATTTTTTTCTGTGGTGATTTTCAAAGGACAAGGTGTAAACTTCAAAGCCAAATACCCTTGTGTATCTGAAATGAGCAATTCAGAAAGCTACACCAGAAATGTAATCAAATGTAATCAATAACTTAAAAAAAAGACGAACTCGTCATTGAACAAAATTAGAGCATGTGCTGTAAATAGCAGCATTATTTTGAGACTGTTTTATTATTTAAAGGAATGTGTATAAAATCTGTGGCATGTATTGTATAAAATGTTATAACTTATGTTAAAATTTGAAATATTTCAAAAAAGAGTGTCATGATTTTGTAAAGAATTATTATCACTTGAAATGGTATCAGATATTTTGGATCACCCTGTACATGATGAATCTGTGTGCATCTGATATGCTCTAGCATATTAATCAAACCATCGATTGGCTTTTTAAAACTCAAATGATCTTTTGATAGAATTTATGCAGATATATATATTTTTTATCTTCTTTAGAAAGAGAAAATGATTTCCTTCATATTTATTATCCCAGGATAACTTAATTACATAAAATATGAAGATAGCGAACAATAATCAGGCTTTCAATTTTAACTGAATTAAGCTTTTACTTAATTGAATCAATAAAAATCTACACCAGAGCAAATACGGACCTTTAAAGTCATCAAAGATGGATCAAGTGCCATGAAGAATATGCATTTGCTGTTGAGCGGTCATATACGTTGTCTGTCCTTTGTAATGATAGGAAATGTGGAAGAATATGTTGACAAATTAGTGTGTAAATAATGACTTTCCAATAAGTAAACAAAAAAAAAAAACACCAGTCAACATCTTACTTATAACATATAGTTTTTGCTGACAAGGTCATTCTATCGACAATATAATATGCAAAATGTAAACTATTGATATATGTACGTTTTGTCTATTTATTTGTCTGTAACTTGTAACTTTTTAAAAGTAATTTGTACGTTTAGCAACCTCTTGCGTATTGAATAATCTTCGAGAAATAACTACCACATTCATGTTATGAGAGTACATTACGTCATAAGTATGGGAATATGGAAGTCATCACGTTTTATCATACAATTTTGTTGTAGACTACCATCAACGTCCTTATATAGTTAAATATCCAAATGAAAATAGATGTGCCAGACTTTTTTGTGCCTTTTATTTTGCGATCAAATATATAACATATATGTTTTAAGATTCAACAATCCCATTGTAATACAGTTATAAACATTGCAACTATGAAATTTTCATTTAGCTTAGATGATCTTTGGTAGTCTCTTTATAATGAGACCGGTATTTAAAATCACCACAGTTTTCGACTAAAAACGATATTAACAATTGAAAATGAAATAAAAATTTCCAAAAATTACATACATGTAGTACTTATTGAAACAATTTAATTTTTTTAAAATGTAAATAAGAAATAAGCTACCAATTTAAAACATTTTCCAGATGTAAATACAGGTTGGTCATGTAATCAAAACCAAGGTTTTATGGTATATTTGATCACAAGACAATTCGTATTTACATCCAGACAAAAGTTTCAAAATGATGCCTTATTACTTATATTTACATTAGAGACTGATTTACAATGTCTTCCATGAAACTTTAATTTTTAAACACATAAAATGATTTATGATTTTTTCAAAACTCAATGGAAAGAAGTTGAATGTGTTGAACTCGTCGATGATTTATGGCGTCACTATAATATAACCTTCTACGGAAGCCCATTTAGGACCTATCAAAAAAATATTTTTGAATTCGTTATAACGATTTTTAGAATTCGTTATAACGAATTTAATTTGTTATAACAGATTTATTGAATTTGTTATAACGAATTTAATTTGTTATAACAGATTCATTGAATTCGTTATAACGAATTTAATTTGTTATAACAGATTCATTGAATTCGTTATAACGAATTAAATTGGTTAGTACAGATTTGTTGAATTCGTTATAGCCAATTCAAGAATTTGTTTTAACGAATTTTTGAATTGGTTATAACGAATTCAACAAATCTGTAATAACAGATTAAATTCGTGTTAACGAATTCAATAAATATGTTATAACAAATTAAATTCGTTATAACGAATTCTAAAAATCGTTATAGCGAATTCAATAATATTTTTGATAGGTCCTAAATGGGCTTCCGTAAACCTGCAAATCTTAGGACTACGCAATAAATATAAGGACTGTGATGAGTCTGTTTAATAAGCCTTCCTTAAACGGTGTTATATAAGTAAAAACATTTCCAAATGTAAATATTTTACCATGTAATAGAGAACTTTCTCTATCGCGATAAACCTGTATCTTCTGTTTACCAATCCACAGCAAAGGATTTAATGTCTTAGATTGTTCAGATTGTGGCATCAGTTTGAAGAGAACCTTGGATATTTTAAGAAATAACATAAAAATCTATTAATGAAACTAACCGAGAAAATTGATAATTTATTGTTCCTTAAACTAAGGATGGGATATATATGGAGATAATGAACAGTATTTAGGCTAAACACTCCAATATACAAAAAAATGGAGCATAGCAAACACGGAATTTTAAATCATCGGAGCCAGGATCTGGTGCCATGCAGGAGTGAGGATCCCCTGTCGGCGTTTAAAAATTATGTGTTGGTCGGATGTAAGCGTTAAGTTGATAAAAATCTAAAATTTGATTGACGCAAAAATTGTAACATGATAGGTTATTCAGCTAAGTAAGCTCCCCAACCCCGATCATGGGTATATAGTACTATACTTGAATTCGCGATTACTTAACTTACCGGAACTCTTTTGCAATGGAGGTAGGATGGGGGCAAATGTGCTATTGAATACAATGGAAAATTGATCATTGTGGTATTTATAAGGACAAACAAGTAAAAAAAAAAACCCTGGTGGTATACCCTGCTAAACAATAGCTGAACCAACCTGATCAATTTTTGAGAGGAGCTAATCCAAAAATGTTACATTTATAACGATATCTCAAACTAAACTCTTCTCATTAAATTTTCATGGAAAATCGTCACATTTTAAAGCTGATAAAATATTCTAAACTTTCCTTATTTGACAATCTACTATTTGGATTTAGTCCTTGGCTATACATTGTACTTTCGACATAAAATTATTCGTATTATTCAATTGTCACTATTGTAAACAATGTCATGTGCCCCAGAAACCTTGCGATATATGGAGCTTTCTCGACTACTCCGCAAAAGAGCGGTAGTAAGTTAGATAACTGCGAGGTACTCGCGATATAACGTTTTGGGTATTAAATCGCATCGATGACACTACATTCTAAAAGTGAAGATAGTGTTTTGTACATCGCAAAATTTTAATACCCTTTTGATAATGTTTCCATATCAATTAAACATAGGTAATCAGAGATTATAAAGCTCACCTCAACGAAAGTTGTCTTTAAGTAAGGCAATTTAAGTCACACAATTAACCAACAAAAAGTGTACATCCAAAAATGCAAAATTTATGCAATTTTGATTTGATACTTTGGAATAGACCTATATAAAAACTTCAAACTAGTTCTTCATCATGAAAACGTAATTAAAATCCAGCATCTGAAGCAATTTAAAAATCCCTTGATGCATCATTTGTGCAAGTTTGGTTTATATAAGCCTTATAGTTTCTTGGTAATAGACCTGCACCCATAACTTTAACGAGGTCCATTATCTGGAAAATGTCTGTCGAATTCAGCATCTGAAGCAAGTCAATTAGTGTGCATCCTAAGATGCATCATCCATGCAAGTTTGTTCAACATAGAGCTCAAAGTTACTTGGAATTGAAAACTGTATAAAATACTAACCTTTTCACTAATCCGGAAAATGTAGGTCAGACTCAGCTTATATGTACCATCCATGCAAGTTTGGTCATTATAGGGCTCAAAGTTACTTGGAAATGAATCCTGCACCATAAACTTTAACCTGTTCACTTGTTCAGAAAATGTAGGTCAGATTCAGCATTCGAAGCAAGTCTGGTAGTATGCACCCTAAGATGTATCATCCATGCAAGTTTAGTCATTATAGGGCTCATAATACCTTGAAAATGAAACATGCACCATAAACTTTAACCTATTCACTTGTTCAGAAAATGTAGGTCAGATTCAGTATCCGAAACAAGTCTGGTAGTATGCATCCTTGGATGTACCATCCATGCAAGTTTGGTCATTATTTGTCTCATAGTAACTTGGAAATGAAACCTGCACCAAAAACTTTAACCTGTTCACTCAACCGAAAAATGAAGGTCAGATTCAGTATCCGAAGCAATATATCCTAAGATGTACCATCCATGCAAGTTTGGTTACATAGGGCTTATGTGAAATAGACCTACACCAAAAACTGCACAAAAAAATGTTAACCTGCTCCAAAAACATTAACCTGGTCATTCCTTTGCTGAAATTGCAGCATCTGAAACTATGACTGGTACAATGAAACACACTAGAAACATCTTCCATGCATGTCTAATCAATATAGGACATAGAAGTACATAAAAAGAAAACTGCTTTTCGATGATTTTGACACCGACACCGACGCCGAGGGTATTACATAAGCTCACCAACTTCGTTGAGGTGAGCTAAAAATTCAACCTTTAGCAAAACAATGAAAATATCATCTTCAAATAATATGCTAAAATTATTTTTCTAGATTATGAAATATTCATTTAAACATTGCATTTGTTTTTAAAACAATCGAGGTATGTTAATATTAGAATTAAATATGTCCAAGGCATTACTTCTAGAACCATGGGTGTGGTCTGTATGTCAATATTTTACTGAGGGTTGATTTTTCTTACCTTTTTGATGACAACAATCATTAACCTATGCATCATGCCCATCATGTTGTGAAAATCAAGAAAAAAGAAGTACATGTTTTGAATGGCCTTGTATTAAAATGCAGTGAATTGAAATGCACATACCAAAATTTTAATTAAGAGTAACAATGATTTTTTTTAACCTTTTATGAAAACTACAATCATCACTAGTACTGTTGCAGTGTACCTGATGTATCTTAAAGAGTCATAATGTTAAAAATATGATTAACTTAATAGCATATTCGAAATATTCATACATATACGAGGGTTTTTCAATAGATAATGTCACCGGTGCTCGGAGTGAAACAAAAAATACTTTTCAATGATTTTGTCAAAATTATTTCCTTTAAATATGCTCCTTTAGTTGAAATACATGTCTGTAACACTTATATCTAATTCCTAATTGTTTTCAAAACACATTTTGAGCACGGCCCTTCGTATACTGGAATATGGGAGATCCTATGATTTCCTGGTTTTCTTTCCGTCTTTCTAAAGGGTAATATTTTCAAGTTTAGAAAATGAAGGAAGTCAAAGGGTGAAAGATATGGCAAATATTGTTGGTGTAACAAAACATTAACTTTCTGTTTATTCCAAAAATACCTTTATTATTTAGATGGTGTGGGTTTGGTCATGAAGAAAATGAATGTAGTATATTATTGATTCTGGTTCCTTTTTCTCAAAACATTTCGATTTTTCGTAAACCTTTTGCTTTCTAGGCTCGTCCAGATATTGAACGGCCTCCCAAAATAAGAATTTTAACAATAAGACCACTACTATTGAGGAAAATGGCTTTAAGCTTTCTTTGTCGTCTTGCAATTCTTTGCTCTACTCAAACCTTTGCTGTTTTGGGTATGAAATCTTGTTGTAAATTTTTCTTTAGGGGTTCAATGCATTCAGGAATCATTATCTGATAGATTTCACACAAACGTGGTTAAGTACAATTCCTGATTTTTTTAATAAATAAAACGCTAACACACAGTCGTTATCACTCATTTGTGCAAACATAGGGTGACCATTGATTTTCAAGCTCTTTTACTGTAATTCTTTCTTTTTTAAAACAGTGTAAACCATCCCAAAAATTATGTCTACTAAATTATCTATGTCTTTTAAAGTCAATGAAACATATCAAGATAATTTGATGAAATTTGGTAACTTTTACATTGGTTGTTGTAAGTCTTTGTTGCCAAGGAAGGTACCCATTTTTATGCCCATTTGTTCATTGTTTGATTGTTGAAAGCCACCTGCCCATGTGTCTAAAAAATGAACATTGGTTGCTGTAAACTTCACATTTTTCAATGAACATTTTTTTTGGATGCTCAACAAGTTTTACAACAGCTTTAACGAAGGGTTTAACTTTACTTTTGTTCACTGATTCTTTACCATCCGCTTTTAATGCAGTGTCTCGAGTTTCCCTTGTTTTCCAGCTTCTTACAATGACACTAGAGGAAACGAGGTTACATCAACGGTAATCAATTTATTAAAGATTAAATCATGAGATAAAGTAAATGCCAATGTTAACTATTTTCTATCTTGTACGTTACAGAGTTCATGACATAATTCATTGAACAACCTTCGTAACTAGAGCTTGGATTGAACAAATGTGCACTACCTGATGGTAAATCTAAATTAATATATTTATTATAATATTGCTATTCCTGAGAAATAGAATTTTAAAAATTTTTGCTCTATGTTGCTTAATATGGATTTGATCCCCTTTTATGAACCTATCTTTACGCAGGGGTCATGATTAAAACCAAATGATTCTGAGTACTGTAATGTAGTTAATTAATTCTGATAGTGGCCTTCGACTCGACAATTAAATATATCAGCGACGTATTGTCAATAAACAATGGCAATTTCATATTTGGATATATTACTTGAAAAAACGTTAATGGATACGATATACATGTACTTTTCTGCTGACTTTGAGGTGCAGCAATATACCTTCCTCACTGCTTAAGGAGTTTATACGTTTAATTCGATACGCAAAAGCATGTTTCATATTTGGATATTTTACATGCACATAAAAAAGAGACGTTAAAATGGTAAGTTCTATGGTAACAACAAAGCAAATACAATTTATGATAAAATGTTGACTTTAACTTTTCATTATTTATACACTGAATCAACTTCCCGATCATACGGGTGTGGTGCAGCAATATACCTTCCTCACTGCTTAAGGTTATCCCCATATGTTTATATATCAGTGGGTTTTTTTTTCAGAAAAATTCGATACACGATTTTGAAAAGGGTATGGTCCTTCATTTAAACGAACTTGAATTCTTCATCTTTATATGGCCTTCAACTTATAAAAATTTTAATATTTAACAATTGGTAAGTTACTGACAAACAAGTTGATAAAACAAGAATATCAGCAGTCTCGTTTAAAGGTATAATTTCTTAAGTTCTGTGGTCGATACAATGACCTTGTCAGCAAATACATTTTATCATTTAGTCAAATGTTGACTTATTTTTTCATACTTATTGTTATTCCATTATTTATACAACTTTTTGTTTTATACTAAATTTAACTTTAATCGGAATATTCAGTCTACCTGGTCATTAAATGGGGTTTGAACTTTTACCGATCATGACAAGGAACACATGGCGGTTTGGGTTTTTTTTCACTGATCACAGATTTGTATTGTTTGTAGGTTTCTGAGACTAATCACTGTTCATCATCTTCACCATCACTGTTCATCATCAATCACTGTTCATCATCTTCACATTTTTTCATCATGAAGGTAAAACTGAAAAAAGCCTGAGCCATCCAACAGAGAGGGCTAAAATACGCTTTGCCTGCTGCCCAATCCCATCACATTATGAGAATAACATTCTGTATACATAGAGAAAAAATAATCTGCTAGTATTTAAACACTTTATTCAATTTTCTAAATTCCTTTTCATTATCTTCAATTTTATACCAATATCAAAACCTTGTATCAAATATTAAGAAGTCTCGCATTTTTCCTTAATATTTTCAATTTTAAATCAACTCATTTTAGTACTATTAAAATCAAAATAAATGACACATGCCTTGTTTATTATCATAATCGGGTGAACAGAAAAACTGTATTTGCGAACAAAATATATGTTGAGTAATATCAGATGAACATGCAGATGTTCTTCAAGGACAAATGAACATATAGATGCTTAGCAAATACGATTGATTACATAGAAATATTTCGCATATTCTCAAAGTAAAGTTTCAAAACAATATTAATCTATGAACAGGACATAAAATGGGATTTCTGGAAATTCCTTAGATGTGATCATGTACCTAGGAGGAAAAAACATCCCCTGTCAACCAGACATCTGCCGTAAAACAGTCTCTTGTATAAATACGAAATATATGCCTGTAGATAAAACTACATGTGGGGGAAAAGATTAACTTAATTGTATTTCTTTTATTTAGAAAACTCCTTCTCATGCTTTATTCTCATTGTCCATTTCCTTTGACCTTACGTAAAGGTCGTGACACAACTTAAATTCATTAGCAACATATTAATTTACCACCAAATTTGCATCTATTGTCTTGATATTTCAGTGTGAAATTCACAACTCTTATTGAATTTTTTAAGCTCCATTTAGATCAGGAAACAATAAATTTATCATTTTAATGAAGGCTTTAAAGTTATAACTTAGAATCGATTAAGTGTTACACAAAGGCAGATAGACAGAAGAAAGACAGAATTATTATGACAAAATATTATACTGCACTCTGTTCTGTGTCTTATTCCTTAAATTAACAGTTCATGTGTGATGCATGACAACGAGCTTAGTCTAAAGACTATTTCTTTTTTATTTTGCTGGCCTTATAAAATGAAAAACAAGATAAGTGACCACAAAAGTTGGCTTGGTTCAAACACTAATTCATGCGACCTGTTAATTCCTGTACATTTTGCATCTTGGTTTAAAACGTGATAACTTTAAAACAAACTTCAGTACTACGTATATGAATATCTTCATTGAAAGGGAGAAAATACGCAAACACGACACACATATTATTAAATTCAGTACATTTTAATTGCAAGTGCGTGAATTTTAAGATGGCATTTGCGGTAAGACGATTTGATAAATGACATCTTCCAACATAATTAAATTATTCTAATTTAGTGAATGGTAAACATGTCACTGATACGAGATGTTGTCGTCGGCACACCCATCATCAAAATTTGCAAAAACGTAAGAAAAAGTGTATTTTATTTTTTTTTATGTATAAAGCTATCAAAATAAGAAACAAAATCGTACCGGATATATTGATCATCGTGTACAACTTAGATAATGTTTAATGAAATCATCATTATCAATTTTAAAAACCTTGACGTGAGAGTGCTTGCGGCTAAATGACAGAGGAAATCCTTTATTACGTATATTTATGCATTAAACAATTCAACTTATAAAATTTGAATGACAAAACGCTGGAAAATTCTTTCAAAATAAAAGAAACAAATGGGCATGCGTTTTTTGGGAGGTAAGAAAAATTCAATCCAATTCAAATACTAATTATTATTCATTTGATATTTGGAAGGGGCTAATTATGAAACAAACTTGTTTAAATTGATTTCTTATTCAAATAAAAAGCAAAATTCTATTTCACGTATTTTGATTTGTATATTTTAGAAGTATCGGTGAAGACTCTTCGGTATTTTATTTACACCATTTGTGTCTCTCTGCTATACGCACAAGGTAGGAAAAAAATTAGTACAAAATAAAACTTTGTGTTAACGTTGCTAATAATTAGAATTTATAACTAACACACATTCTCCTTATTTTTATGAGTATATGATATGTTTAACTCAGATTTCCTTAACTGAGGTAAATTGGATCTTTTTCCTTGTCCCTTTATGAATAAATAATGTACTTTTGCTCTCCCTTATATAATTATTTAAAAAACAAATGTTTTGCTCTCCTTTATTTAATTATTTAAATACAAACAAATGATACCAAAACTATTTTTAGCATAGGTTGAACTCAATGTTACCTACCTTACGAGCTCAATATTTTTCTATTGAACTAGTATTCTACATGTTCAAATTTTTCATTTTCATTTCATTTAAAAATCTCCAAGTCTACAATTCTCTTTCGAGACATTTTTGTCATACCAGATCCCACCTTTGATGTTTTAAATGTCTGCATTTTCTCTGTTTTTCAGTTTGCATTGTTTCAATGAACATTTCAGTTTAAATTTGGTTCGGTATCTCTATATTTCATTTTACAGTTTTTGAACCATAGAAGTTAACATACCTGATTATTAGTTACTACTGATTTTGTTTTTAAAGCTTTATATTTGGATATTTTACAGATCTTCCAGTGGTTACTTTTTCTCAAAATCCTTACAACGTGATTCAAGGAAATGACGTCACAGTTCTGTGTCTCGTGGACTCTCCTAACTCTCCGATAGAGGAGGTCAACTGGATGAAAAATGACGCATCATTACCAACAGATGACAGATACACCGTGAACACTGGAGCCGGCAAAAGGTCCAGTGATCTAGTTATCAAAAACGCCAATCCCCTTGATGAGGGAACCTACACGTGCAGTGCTAGGAATGGGGTCGGTCTTGGATCAATGGACACGCTTCTCTCAGTAACTACAAATGTCGCTACGGGTGAGTGAACAGCCAATGATATTTATTCGACATTATTATCTTTATACTTGACATGTGCCCTATCAGCCAAACAAAAGCAATAGTCCAATTTGTTATTGATGACAGAAGTATTCTTTAAGAAATCAAAATCTGAGAATTTCAAAGATAGTAAAGCATAGGTAACAAGATGTATTATCAGCGATGCTAACAAAATTGAAAAAAGGGAATACTACAGTTCAACCTAATTAACAGTGATAATCGAATACTCCTGTAAGAATACGGAAAGTGGAAAGGACAAAAAACAAATAAGTGGAAGCTCCAAAGTTGGGATCAGGTGCCTAGGAGTTAATAACTCTTCTCGTCCGGTCACACTCATCTTGAACTATCAGTATGGAACAGGCAAAAATGTAAAGGTTTTATTAATTGATATGAAATCTGTTAGTCAAAATCCGTCCCGAAGATATGTTTCATTTGCAAACGAAGTCTAACTATCGATAATAAAATTTACAAAATAAGGCTGTTGACAGTCCTTAAACATTAACCTTATTAGTCAGTGACCTGCCTTGATTTGAAAATTTATCTTACTCAGAACTTGGGCGTTCTAACATGCAATTATTTATTGGAAACATAAACAGTAATTACAGGTGATAATGAAATACAACTCTATTTTTAGGGGAAGTTAACTAATGGAAAAAAAGCTTAAGTATTCGGATTATTTTAAATTAATATATAGTTGATTTTTTTCCATTAATTTTCAAAGTCGACAAAACGTCAAACTATCAAAAAAAAAAAAGCAGTAGAACTGTAATTTCTTTCCTTTTGAGCTCTTGTGTGTATTTATATCTATATGATAATTGTTGTTTACTGTTGAAACACTTATAATATATCAAATATTGAATTGCAAGATAAAGGCAAAATATTTCTACATCTATGGCAGATTATTGAATAAATTCTAAACCAAAAAAAATAAGAAAAAAGAACATGATGAGTGTTCAACAGAGGTTGGATCAGATGTACGAGGGCTGTTCAATAAATAATGTCCTCGGTGCTCGCAAAGAAACAAAAGACGTTTTTCAATGATTTTGTCTTCATTATTTTACTTATTAATCTCTTTTAATTATAACACATGTCCGTAACCTTTTTCATCCAATTTCTGATTGATTTTAGAACTCTTTTTTGGGTATGACTCTTGGTATACTGGAAAATGGCAGATCCAATGATTTTCTGGACTTGTTCCTTCCTTATCAAAGGTGTTTTTTAAGTTTGGAAATAGAAATAAGTCAAAAGGTCAGAGATCTGGCGAATATTGTTAATGTGAAAAAATATTAACTATCTGTGTATCCCGAAAACCCCTTTACTCTTCAGGGCGTGCGGATTTGGACGCTGTCATGAAGAAATTTAATGTAGTGGATTCCTGATTCTGGGTCCTTCCTCTAATAAACCTTTCGATTTTTTTGCAAAAAATTGTTTTCTAGCCTCATCTAGAAATTAAACTCTCTCCCCGAATACGAATTTGAACAACAATACCACTAATATTTAAAAACATTGCATATAAATCTGTCTTTGTGCTCTTGCAATTCTTTGCTCTCGCCAGACCTTCCCTGTTTTTGTCAAGTACATCTTATGGTAATAATTTTTGTTTTGAGGATTTTAAGCAATAGATTCAAGTTCCATTATCTGTTTGAATATCCAAAAAAACGTGGATAACTCCAGTTACTGACATTTTAAAATAATTCTTAAGGCATTTATACACGCTGTCGTTTTCACTCATTTTTCAAAATATAGGGTGACCTTTGAGTACTAAGCTTTTTTACCGTCAAAGGTTTCTTAAAAAACAGTGTAAACTACCCCCGATGTGATGTCTATCAAATTTGCTATTTCTCTTAAAGTCAGTCCTACATCATCAAGTATTTTTTGTTGAAATTTGGCAAACAGTACATAAGTGTTATAATTTTTTTGTTGGCAAGGACGGTACCCATTTTTGATGCCCATTATATAATTTTTTATCATTGAAATCCACCTGCTCATTTGTCTATAAAACAGGTATTGGTTGCTGTAAATGTCACATATTTCAGTGAATATTTCTTTGGGATTTTTAACCAGTTTTATAGCAGCGTTGTTTAAGCTTTTATTTTCACTCTAGTTTACCGATTCTTTACCATTCATTTATAATGCAGTGTCTCGAAAACCCTTGTTTCCCAGCTTCTCACAATGAAACTATGTGATGAAAAGTGGTCACATGAACGGTTATAAATTCATTTAAGATTCAATTATGAGAAAAAGCCAATTTTAATGTCACATGATATCTTTATTGTATGTCATACAGTTCAGGACATTATTTATTGAACAGCCCTCGTAAGGACGATAATCCCGCAAAAGAGAGCTAAGATTTATTAAATATTCAAATAAATTGCCATATATCTATACAATTTTTTCTAACATAGATCCAGCTTTGTTTGGCATGTGACAAAACTAACAAAAGATCTAATCTTACCTATCTTACATATTGAGATCACGAAGAGGACTGACTGAGTTCCAATTCTATATATCACAACCTTTGTCTTTTGGTCTCCTTTGCAGGCGATGTCGATCCATTTGGAGGTGGTCAATTTGATGTTTTTAGTGGAATCCAGGGAGACAGAGTTGGTAAAGTATACATGACATTCATTGATATAGTCATCTACGTTAATATCATATTCTAATCAGCCCTTTTTCATCCGTTACAGAGTCGGGGTCAAATATCGTCAACGGGGAAAATTTTAATGTCTTTGGAGACGGATTGGGGAGTCAACTCAGTGGCATGACAGGTAAAAGAAAGAGAGGAGAGTAAATACGTTTAAAATGTTGTTTTGATTAATGTTTTTAGGTAAATGTAAATCATATATTTATATTTAAATTATATATGGTTTTCTCAAATTCTCGTGTAGAAACAAATACATTTGTTAAAAAAAGAACTTTATAATTTTTGCCAATAACAAATACCTTTTCGTGTTTTAGGAAGCCTATCTTCTCCCGGAGCATCTTCAGTGGTAGATAATCCTCCTTCTCAGGTAGATATCGGCAGCCCCTCCGTGGACCAAGTGACGTCAGCTGTGGACCAAGTGACGTCAGGCACCAGTTCTGTAGATACAATAACCACTCCCATTGTAGAAGGCGCCATTACAAATCAAGCCTCTGTTGCGGAAACTACGGGAACTGGAGATGTAGCAGTCACAACTGATATGGGTGTTTTAAATCCTGCCGAGTCGAGTAAGTATCATTAAAATCACACATTGTCTTATACCATAAGATTATTCTTATTAACATATGTAGTAGTTTTTGTACTCAATGTTTGTATTATTAATTATGTGTAGTGATGCGATGTTTTTCATTAATGCCCTTTCATCAGGTCACTGTACAAACGTTTTGCAAATGAATATTACCCAAATCAATATATTCAACATGGGTCAAATCAATTACAAAAATACTTATTAATCTTTTTAATGCTTTAATTTAGCATCAGAACCTGTTGTGGCTGCTGGGGAAACTCCTGACCTCGTGAAATCGAATGCAAATCCTCTTGTAGTTGGAGAAGAAACCCCTACCATGTTGAACTCAAACGCTACTCCTGTTGTAGTTGAAGAAAATAAGTCTAGGACATGGGACGTGAATAAGCCCGAGACTCAAGAGGCCCCGGCTCCCAGAAGAGATAGAATTATAGGAGGGATCGGAGGCGGTGGCTTTAACAAAAACGATAATAAAGGTATGGTGCTAGAGACAAATCTTTGATACTTGTACTGAAAGGGGATATGATGAAAGCAATTTTTTATTAATTATTTAACATTTGGGTGTTAAAATGAATTGTAATTCTCTTCTTCCGAAAAATCTCTCTACTACACATTAGCCAAACAATGAAGTTAGATTATTCAGTGATAATAAGTGGGTAAATAATCTTAATAACATGTAGCGGGTTCTTGTGTGTCGTAAAAGCATTGATACTTGATTATTTTAGTGGGATCTTGTGCTTCTGAATGCCGTACAAACACTGATTCTTGTTACCGACCTGTAAACTGTACCCACTACGAGACTTGTTTTGCACAAAGAGACAGTCGTTGTGAATGTACAAAGATTCGATGTGCATTTGGTACCTTCTGGGAACCACAAATCAACAATTGTGCCGCTGTAACTACTGTACAATGTGAATCAGGTACTCTTTCTATCTTTTTTGTTAGTTTACTCTGCTGTGGAACAAATTGTAAAGAAACTTTAATTTAAGTCAACCCATGGGTTGACTCAGTTGGCTCATAATCCGATCTTTGTAACAAAAAAATTATTGGAAATGAAGACAAGTACCAATCATTTGTAACCTTGTTAAATCAGATCCCTGCTTGAAAATGAAGCCTACAGAGACCTACTCCAGTGGTATTAACTGTAGGAGTTACTACAGCTGTACTTGGCAGAACACATCTCTACCTCAATGCTGCGATAAAGGGTTTGCTTTTGACGAGGCATCAGGGAGGTGTGTGGCTGATGAGAACTGCTATATACCGTGCTCGGTAGAGTCTGCCAATTTCGATAGATTGCAAGTGACAACAAAGGCACCGAAATACGGTAACTATTCTCAGATTTTACATGTTGAAATAATATGATTTGATACATGCGTGAGAATTGTTAAAGAACTACAAATTTGTGTCAATACGGTTAGTAATATATTTTTAAAATTATTTTTGTAAAGCTTTGATGCACAATTTGACTAAACTATATAAACTATAATTTCCCTTATCTTAATATTATTACTGAAGAAGCAAGTTCAACTTTCCAGCTGGTTCTATTTTAAATATGATATTATTGCAAGAAAGAAATTTAAACCTGATCTCTTTTATCTTTAGAGTGCTTCTTCCGTCCAGTAAAAGGTAAACCGACTAAGTATTGGAATGAGGGAGCGAATCAGGAACAGGATTGTGCCCCTCCTCTTGTTTACAGACCGGATATTTGCGTATGTGGTAACCCTCTTCAAACTGACCAAGCTCCAAAGGCCATCAAACCACCAAAAAGGAGTAAGTTCATAAAGGGCAAATGACTTCTTTTGAACTATAATTAAACTGTATAAACTCTATCATTACCTGCTTTTTCATTTTTAAATATGTTGATGCATGTATTTAGAAGTAGAACATGATTTGAAAAAAGTTTCGTTAGAGATAATTTTCGTTGCTCATTAATATATAATTTATGATTTAAACTCCAGACATATATTTATATTGAGAAAAAATTCTTTACTCACCATTTTTGGCGAGAAGTCCATATGTACATTTACTTCTTTTTCAGAGTGCGACCCCGCAGTTCTCGTAGATTTTACGGGTAACTCCGTCGTGAACAAATCACCAAGTCGAATTTGGATCGAGTCAACTTATACACAAATCACGAGATCCAAGAAAGGAGCTCAATACGGTCGTTTTAATGGGATTTCCCGAATAGCCATTCCTTATTTATCCGGGAAGGCCATTCCTAGCTTGGTTGTGCGTCTTAGGTTTTTCTCTACTGGTGCTTCCGGTCCAGATTCACAAGTGTTGCTCTCCAACTGTGAAACACAGACTGTCAAATGGAATTCCCCGGAAATAAACAAGGACCTTTCTCCTTCTATAGCCATTATTCTGAATCGTAAGATGAACAAGCTGATATTTTTAGGGTCAACAGAAGACAGAGCATCTGAACAAGCCCTAATGCTTTTACCTTATGTGGTAAGTATGGAACATATGATAATAAGGTACTCAATTCCAAATTATTTAAACCAGACATTAATCAAAAATGTCAATTGACATTTTTTAAAGCCATGTTTTAAACCTTATCTTTGATATCTGCAGTAAAATTATATGCATGTAATAAAACTACTGCCTTTGATCCATGTGCGCGCGCGCGCCGCGCGCGCGCGCGCGCGCGCGCGCGCGCGCGCGCGCGCGCGCGCGCGCGCGCGCGCGCGCGCGCGCGCGCGCGCGCGCGCGCGCGCGCGCGCGCGCGCGCGCGCGCGCGCGCGCGCGCGCGCGCGCGCGCGCGCGCGCGCGCGCGCGCGCGCGCGCGCGCGCGCGCGCGCGCGCGCGCGCGCGCGCGCGCGCGCGCGCGCGCGCGCGCGCGCGCGCGCGCGCGCGCGCGCGCGCGCGCGCGCGCGCGCGCGCGCGCCGCGCGCGCGCGCGCGCGCGCGCGCGCGCGCGCGCGCGCGCGCGCGCGCGCGCGCGCGCGCGCGCGCGCGCGCGCGCGCGCGCGCGCGCGCGCGCGCGCGCGCGCGCGCGCGCGCGCGCGCGCGCGCGCGCGCGCGCGCGCGCGCGCGCGCGCGCGCGCGCGCGCGCGCGCGCGCGCGCGCGCGCGCGCGCGCGCGCGCGCGCGCGCGCGCGCGCGCGCGCGCGCGCGCGCGCGCGCGCGCGCGCGCGCGCGCGCGCGCGCGCGCGCGCGCGCGCGCGCGCGCGCGCGCGCGCGCGCGCGCGCGCGCGCGCGCGCGCGCGCGCGCGCGCGCGCGCGCGCGCGCGCGCGCGCGCGCGCGCGCGCGCGCGCGCGCGCGCGCGCGCGCGCGCGCGCGCGCGCGCGCGCGCGCGCGCGCGCGCGCGCGCGCGCGCGCGCGCGCGCGCGCGCGCGCGCGCGCGCGCGCGCGCGCGCGCGCGCGCGCGCGCGCGCGCGCGCGCGCGCGCGCGCGCGCGCGCGCGCGCGCGCGCGCGCGCGCGCGCGCGCGCGCGCGCGCGCGCGCGCGCGCGCGCGCGCGCGCGCGCGCGCGCGCGCGCGCGCGCGCGCGCGCGCGCGCGCGCGCGCGCGCGCGCGCGCGCGCGCGCGCGCGCGCGCGCGCGCGCGCGCGCGCGCGCGCGCGCGCGCGCGCGCGCGCGCGCGCGCGCGCGCGCGCGCGCGCGCGCGCGCGCGCGCGCGCGCGCGCGCGCGCGCGCGCGCGCGCGCGCGCGCGCGCGCGCGCGCGCGCGCGCGCGCGCGCGCGCGCGCGCGCGCGCGCGCGCGCGCGCGCGCGCGCGCGCGCGCGCGCGCGCGCGCGCGCGCGCGCGCGCGCGCGCGCGCGCGCGCGCGCGCGCGCGCGCGCGCGCGCGCGCGCGCGCGCGCGCGCGCGCGCGCGCGCGCGCGCGCGCGCGCGCGCGCGCGCGCGCGCGCGCGCGCGCGCGCGCGCGCGCGCGCGCGCGCGCGCGCGCGCGCGCGCGCGCGCGCGCGCGCGCGCGCGCGCGCGCGCGCGCGCGCGCGCGCGCGCGCGCGCGCGCGCGCGCGCGCGCGCGCGCGCGCGCGCGCGCGCGCGCGCGCGCGCGCGCGCGCGCGCGCGCGCGCGCGCGCGCGCGCGCGCGCGCGCGCGCGCGCGCGCGCGCGCGCGCGCGCGCGCGCGCGCGCGCGCGCGCGCGCGCGCGCGCGCGCGCGCGCGCGCGCGCGCGCGCGCGCGCGCGCGCGCGCGCGCGCGCGCGCGCGCGCGCGCGCGCGCGCGCGCGCGCGCGCGCGCGCGCGCGCGCGCGCGCGCGCGCGCGCGCGCGCGCGCGCGCGCGCGCGCGCGCGCGCGCGCGCGCGCGCGCGCGCGCGCGCGCGCGCGCGCGCGCGCGCGCGCGCGCGCGCGCGCGCGCGCGCGCGCGCGCGCGCGCGCGCGCGCGCGCGCGCGCGCGCGCGCGCGCGCGCGCGCGCGCGCGCGCGCGCGCGCGCGCGCGCGCGCGCGCGCGCGCGCGCGCGCGCGCGCGCGCGCGCGCGCGCGCGCGCGCGCGCGCGCGCGCGCGCGCGCGCGCGCGCGCGCGCGCGCGCGCGCGCGCGCGCGCGCGCGCGCGCGCGCGCGCGCGCGCGCGCGCGCGCGCGCGCGCGCGCGCGCGCGCGCGCGCGCGCGCGCGCGCGCGCGCGCGCGCGCGCGCGCGCGCGCGCGCGCGCGCGCGCGCGCGCGCGCGCGCGCGCGCGCGCGCGCGCGCGCGCGCGCGCGCGCGCGCGCGCGCGCGCGCGCGCGCGCGCGCGCGCGCGCGCGCGCGCGCGCGCGCGCGCGCGCGCGCGCGCGCGCGCGCGCGCGCGCGCGCGCGCGCGCGCGCGCGCGCGCGCGCGCGCGCGCGCGCGCGCGCGCGCGCGCGCGCGCGCGCGCGCGCGCGCGCGCGCGCGCGCGCGCGCGCGCGCGCGCGCGCGCGCGCGCGCGCGCGCGCGCGCGCGCGCGCGCGCGCGCGCGCGCGCGCGCGCGGCGCGCGCGCGCGCGCGCGCGCGCGCGCGCGCGCGCGCGCGCGCGCGCGCGCGCGCGCGCGCGCGCGCGCGCGCGCGCGCGCGCGCGCGCGCGCGCGCGCGCGCGCGCGCGCGCGCGCGCGCGCGCGCGCGCGCGCGCGCGCGCGCGCGCGCGCGCGCGCGCGCGCGCGCGCGCGCGCGCGCGCGCGCGCGCGCGCGCGCGCGCGCGCGCGCGCGCGCGCGCGCGCGCGCGCGCGCGCGCGCGCGCGCGCGCGCGCGCGCGCGCGCGCGCGCGCGCGCGCGCGCGCGCGCGCGCGCGCGCGCGCGCGCGCGCGCGCGCGCGCGCGCGCGCGCGCGCGCGCGCGCGCGCGCGCGCGCGCGCGCGCGCGCGCGCGCGCGCGCGCGCGCGCGCGCGCGCGCGCGCGCGCGCGCGCGCGCGCGCGCGCGCGCGCGCGCGCGCGCGCGCGCGCGCGCGCGCGCGCGCGCGCGCGCGCGCGCGCGCGCGCGCGCGCGCGCGCGCGCGCGGCGCGCGCGCGCGCGCGCGCGCGCGCGCGCGCGCGCGCGCGCGCGCGCGCGCGCGCGCGCGCGCGCGCGCGCGCGCGCGCGCGCGCGCGCGCGCGCGCGCGCGCGCGCGCGCGCGCGCGCGCGCGCGCGCGCGCGCGCGCGCGCGCGCGCGCGCGCGCGCGCGCGCGCGCGCGCGCGCGCGCGCGCGCGCGCGCGCGCGCGCGCGCGCGCGCGCGCGCGCGCGCGCGCGCGCGCGCGCGCGCGCGCGCGCGCGCGCGCGCGCGCGCGCGCGCGCGCGCGCGCGCGCGCGCGCGCGCGCGCGCGCGCGCGCGCGCGCGCGCGCGCGCGCGCGCGCGCGCGCGCGCGCGCGCGCGCGCGCGCGCGCGCGCGCGCGCGCGCGCGCGCGCGCGCGCGCGCCGCGCGCGCGCGCACCTGAATATATTGACAGTGGCTTTGAAATTTTAGATACCCGAGGAGGAAAAATTCTACGAATTGTTTTAATTTGTTAATTTTTACTGCAATGCGTTACAATTTACAATCAAATAAACTATTTGAAGAAAAGATTCTATTTAATTTCAATGTTCAATAGTTGACAAAACAGTGCACACATTATAAGTGCTTACCTCTCCATGGCACCTGATCCCACCTCTGATGTTTTTGATGGTGTATTTTTTCTGTTCACCCAAATTTCATTTAGTTTTGAGTTTGATTACTGTCTATTATCTATGTATTTCATGTACTTTTGAACTGATTCTAAGACTAATCAATGTTTTTTTTTTCTTTTTCTTACATAGAAAAAGACTTGGAATAACGTAGAAGTCCTGTTTGATGGGTCTGAGTTATCAGCAAGGGTACGAGTAGCCACTCCAGATAAACAAGCTCTAGAATTTAAAAATTCAACAGTACTTACAGGTAAACCTTTAAAAAACAACTGGGGGTACTCTGTATATTATACGATGCTTTGATTATCTTACTTAATTCTATGCTTCAAGAAAATCTTGAATTACAATTTTTTTGCAGGTTTGAACATCATTCTCTCAGTCTGAATACCTAGGCGTTTGGATTTATTATGAAAATATTCTATACCTATAAATCTAGTTTAACGAATATGTATGTTTTCTACTTAGGTCGACTAACCCCTGCTCAGAAAGCTATGCAAATCGGTCGTTGCAATGATCAAGATGGCTTCTTCGGCTTCATAGACATGGTGAGTGTATTGTGATATTCTTTTCATTTTTAAGTATCATATGTTGAAGAATGTTTCTTTTTTAAATCAAGAAGCATATTTTGTCTGCCAAGGCATTTAATTATATAAATATTTTTTTAATTTTCAGATCAAGATCTTTGATTGCATTCCTTGAAAAGTGCCTAATTTATAACATTTTAGGTGTTTTGTACATAAATACTCTTTTGTAATTAAAAATACAATGTTCTCTATTTATTTTCAAGCATTGTGTAAATTTTCCATACATATGTCGCATGTATCAATTAAATCATGACATTTTTGTCATTCATCTATTATTTACACTAGGATTGTTTGTGATTTTATAGGATCACGTTACGTAACATACACTGCAATGTTATTAACCTAAAGCTTTGTCACTTCATCATGATATATGACAATACAATTATATATGTTAATATTCTTCGATTTAAAATGCAACTCTGAACAGATAGGTCGCCCGCGTTGCGCAATTGTTAGAGCGTCTGCTCTCGAGTCGCAGAGTAAGGGGTTGATATTGATTTTGCGGGTTCAAATCCATTCCACTGCGAGATGTGGTGACCAGTCCTTCGGATGAGACTGTATAAACCAAGGTTTCATGTCACAGTAGGTGTTTGCACTGCAAAAAGCTCACTCCCCGCTTTATGGCCCTAAGCGTAGATTAAAATTTGCAGCCCTCCACTGGCAAGTTGCAGCGTGTCCATATGTGTGAAAAATTCTCGAGAGGGACATTAAACAATGTAAAAACGCACAATCAAACAAGCAAACAGACGGGAGTCCATAATATTGAATATTTACTCAGAAAAAATACAATTGAAATGAAATGAAATGAAAATGTCCATTATTTAGTCATCCAAAACAAGCCCGATAAGCATTAGGACACAGAGAAAAAGAAGTCTTAATTCCTACCTCCTTTGTATTTATTTTCATGTCAACTTATGAGTCTATCCACTTACTCCATTTTTTATTTTTAATGTTTGGACAGTAAAAGGGAATTAACTCTATCTTAACGATATAAAGGCAAAAAATGACAACTACATATTTTTAACATTATTTTAATGTTTACAGTTTTCATTTTCAGTTGTTTAAAGTTTTGTAAATACTGGAGACGGATTAAGAAAGTATATTTCACAGATGATTTCAATGTAAAGAAAAAGTATACATGCAATGATATTGTTCTTACTTCACGCTCTTTTTTAGTCATTCGAAAATAAATTAATACTGTAGCTTCCCTTCTAGGAAGTGGCAAATGCAAAATAGAAACTTGAGATGAACTGCTCTAAAGGAGTTCTAAAACTTTCTCGGTTTTGATTTTTTTCACTTCCCTAATTTTATGAAAAATACGAGGGACGTTCATTAAATAATGTCATTAGCTCGACGACATACAACAGAGAAATCATATGACATTAAGCTTGGCTTTCTCTCATTATTGAATCTTTAATGAATTGATAACAGTTTATGTGACCACTTTTCATCGCATTATTTCATTGTGGGAAGCTTGAAAACAAGGGCTATTCTAGAAACTGCAAGAATCAGTTAACTAGAGTAAAATTAAACGCTTCATTAAAGCAGCTGTAAAACTTATTAATATCCCAAAAATATATTAACTGAAATATGTGAAATTTACAGCAACCAATGTCTGTTTTATACACACGTGAACAGGTGGATTTCAGTAAACAAAAATTATATAATGGGCATCAAAAATGGGTACCGTCCTTCGCAACAAGGACTTACAACAACCAATGTATTTTTGCGAAAATTCAAAAAAAATTATCACTGATTATGTTTTATTGACTTGAAGACACACAGCAAAATTGATAGAAATCATTTTGGGGGTAGTTCACACTGTTTTAAAGAAACATTTGATAGTAAAAAAGTTTAATACTCAAAGGTCACCCTATATTTTGAAAAATGAGTGAAAACGACAGCGTGTAGGAATATCTAAACAATTATTGTACTTATCCACGTTTATCAGAAATTCAAACAGATAATGAAACTTGAATCCATTTTGCTTTAAACCCTCAAAACAAATTTACAATAGGATACACTTGACAAAACGGCAAAGGCCTAAAAGAGCAAAGAATTGCAAGAGCATAAAAACAGATTTATATGCTATTTTCATAAATATTAGCGGTCCTATTGTTCAAATTAATATTCGGGGAGGAAGTTCAATTTCTGAAGGAGTCTAGAAAACAATTTTTTGCAAAGAATTGAAAGGTTTATGAGAGGAAGGAAGCAGAATGAGGCATTCACTACATTGAATTTCTTCAAGACAGCGTCCAAACCCACGGGCAATGAAGAGTAAAGGAGTTTGGGGGATAAATAGAAAATGAATGTTTTGTCACACTAACAAAATTTGCCAGATCTTTCAACCTTTGACTTTTTTCATTTCCCAAACTTAGATAAACATCTATCAGAAAGAAAAAAACAAGTACAGCAAATCATAGGATCTGCCATATTCCAGTATAAGAAGGGTCACACTCAAAAATGTGTTTTAAAAACAATTAGAAATTGAATAAAAATGTCACAGACATGTGTTTTAGTGAAAAGAGAATACTTTAGTTAAATCATTCAGACTTAGTTATAGAAAAGCGTTGTTTTTGTTTGTTTGTATTGACATTATTTATTGAACACCCCTCGTATGTACTTAAAATGTATCAGAACATCCCTCTGATATGTTTGGTAACAAGAAGGACTGAGTTTTTTCACATACATGTAAGATATTTTTTGAGAGAGAGAGCATGCTTTTTTTTTTTACATTACTTACATATATCAGTATATTATTTCCTTCAAAACCACAAGAATAAATATTATCATTATCAACATTTATTATTTCCGAAAATTGAAAATAAATTTCGACCTATAATACAACACTTTTATTTAATTCTTTGAGGATATTCTAAGCTGCTTAGCGTATTATTAGTTGCTAAACTTGCTTTGATTTTTAGAACCTGAAAAAATATTATTTATAAAGTAACACGATGAGAATATTTACCTCTAAATTAAAACTTTATAAATTCGTATGAATCAACATGATCAAGGTGAAGATAAATTTCTATGTATGAAGTAAATTATATGGAAATGCTACATAGAAAATGTTTAGAGGCAGGATTAACGTATGCTGGAGGATTGTTGCGACATGGCAACAATTACGGTTAGGAAGCTTTTGTAAATATACATAGCAGAGGTTCTCTGCTCTATGGTTTAAGTGTGCATTTAATATTCCATGGATTAATACATTATACAGGTTTTTTTAAATGAAATTGTTAAGAGTGACAGTGTATCAAGAAGCAAGAAACTCATTTAGAAACACAAGACACGCTTTTTTTTATTCTCAAAGCCATCTTAAAAAATGTACATCGGTGCTTCATAGGAAATGTTATAGTACAAACATCCTACAATATAATTAACACAAAACCTTACTTCAAATGCCATTTTTAAAGGAATTCGGAAACAATATCTTTTATTAGATAAACTGATGATCGAAATATGAGCAAATTAGAACAATTTTTTTATTCGAAACAGATACATAGAATTAAGACTAGAAGATGTAGAATGCAATAAAGTAGACGTCAACCATCTCCTTAATTAAAATTCAACATTTCGTAAATCCTATCGTCGATAGAATGACCTTGTCGGCAAATACAACTTTTTCATACATATTGTTGGGTCATCAAATACACAATGACTTGTCTACGGATTTTCAGTTTACCCAGTCATAATATAAAGCACATGTGTGGACGGTGGGCAGAGTATACTTATTTCTTTACGGTAACTTATCCCAACTCTGATGTGTTTAGAGGTCCGTGGTTGCTCAACTATCTTAATCTTTTGGGTTTGCTTATTAGAGTTTTATGAAGAGACTTACATTAACATTCAACAGCTGACTTTTACATTTTAGTAATTGGAGTTTTCTCTGTTTAAATTGTAAAAGTCAGTCGTCGCTTGTAAAAATAAGTCTCTTCATAAAACTCCATTAATTATAATCGGTAAAGCATATAGAAATAACAGCTTCGTTGCAAATAAATCTTAATACAATGCCTTGATATGATTTACAGGGCAATTTAAATATTCAACGAAATAATTAGTAAGTTATGTCAAGTCATCAATTTTCTCTAAGAGTACCTTGACAAATGGCTCCAAATATATTGCTCTAGGTCAAATCAATGAGAAAAGATTGATAATTTGCGTTTTTTTTCCTACTGAACTTACGGCATTTTTTTTCAATTATCGATGACATATAATTGAGGTAAAAGAAGTAAATAATCAGGTTATTTTTCCACCAATGTATTGAGGTCATACATCCTATTTATCATTCAAAACGCACGCAATTCAAATATGCAACATATTTATTGAACATATTTTCATTTTACCATTTATTTTGGGCTTTTTCTGATTCAATATTTTCAAATCATTTTTATTTTCTAATTGAAAAGTCGGATAATATATTTAAAAAAATGATTATTTAAATACATATTGATTATGACACAATTCAAAGATATTTCCAGAAGAAAACTTATACTTTCTGAAGAGTCCCTAACTTCGACATCTTATATTAGTATACCGAAACAATATCCAATATCGCAAATTTAACTTTTCTGATGAAAAATATATATCCTTTGAGGAAACTGCATAAAAGAAACGAATATTAATCCATTTATATGTATCCATTTTCAACATGAGATGTCTGTTTTACTCAACCAGGAAAATATTATCAAAGATTGCAAGATATAACATTAATAAATATTAATACCGTGGTTTTAAGATGTCGAAGTGAATCAAAGAAGAATTTGATGACTTTTCTTCTGCATATTATGTGAAACCTATAACCTTGAGTACGACCTGTTTTGACACCGGAGTTTTTGCGGTTCATACATGTCAATCAAGGCTAATGGGTGTTGATAGATGCAATTGATGTCTTCAATGTATTGCTATAGGGAATTGTCTTTTTTTTTTCGATACATCAAGCACCTGTATTTTAGAATTGATTGACTAAAAAGTGTAATTTTAATTTTTTATAACATGAAAACCGCGAACTGTAACATACAAAAACTTGTAATCATTTTTTTTTTTCGCCTAGTAAGATACTCGCTAAAGTAAGTTTTTGAAAAAGTGTCTTTCTTTCGCTTTGCTTTAAACCTTTAATCTTGAATAACAACTTAAAAATTAATATTTTGAAACATTTCGTTTTTCCATGAATTTAACAAATAAAAGAGAGTATAACGAACAGTATTCAATATCAAAGAAGATTGGGGGATAAGGCGGGCAGAATGCCTATAGCGTCAGATATTAAGAAATCACATTT